ATCAGTCTATAGACACCTAAAATAAACAGGTCGAGTATCGATTCAGTTAATATCACTTTTGAAATTTCTAAACTTTGCAAAAACTGAAAAAGCAAAACTTGTGAATGTCCTTTTTTAATACATATATTTTAAGTTAATTTAGTTAAATTAAATTTTGTAAATAAAAACTATTCAAAATACAAAGTTAATAACACTTTCAGTTTCAAATCTACTATAATTATATTTTCTGGAGTTCTCTACAGTGGTTTTATGCCTTTCTTTGTGGACTTGAATAATTTTCACAGTACAATAAAAGAGCCTACAAAATAATTAATGATGAGAAACATGTGAAATATTTTATAATTAACATAATTTCTTCGAATGAAGTTTAAGAATTAATGAATGATTAAATAAATATACTATAAAATAATAAATACAAACTATTATTACAAATAAGCTAGTTACCAAAAAAGTATATGAATAACAACATATCTTTGTTGCAGAGCATTATTAAGCATACTCATCATTTAAGTTCATCAAATCTTATCATTTAAACGTCAAACGTGCTTATACACTTACATATACACTTTAACTAAACCTACTGCAAAGCTTTGTCCAAAGTACCCGTACGCAAGTATTCGATAACGTCATCGGGATAGTTATTTTTGATGAGAATCGTTTGAAGTTAAGCACAAAGTTACACAATGGGCTATCTGTGCTCTTCCCATCACGGGTATCGAAACCTGGTTTCTAGCGTTGTAAGTCTGCAGACATACCGCTGTGTCACTGGGCGGGGCGATGAGAATCGATTCGAAAATAATAGCCAAAATTGATCAATATCCAGTTAATTTGTATATACAAGCACATTCAACCAAGACAGTTAAAAAGATCGATATTTGGAGACATGTTTATTTAATCTTGCGTAAGTTACGTACCTAATAATACTTTCATTTAGTTTTGTCTAATTTGTTTTTTTCTGCCAATTCGTTTTACAACAACACCTTGCGTTAGAAACAAAGCACCCAACTTTGCAGTACACATGATCTACTTCCTAAACGTTTTTGTGGCCTACCAAATAATTTAGGTGGAAAGGATATATACAACCACTAGTGTGTACTTCAAAATCTCCTTCCTTAAATACTATGTTACCGTTAACTATCTAAAACGTACGGTAACTATTAAACTACGACAGCTACGGAGACTAGTAAATGGTATAACAGTGCACGTATCGTGCTCTGTTTTGACTCGAAGGCAATATATAATTTATTTTGAATGAGATATAATAATATTGTGCTTTCTCAATACCTACTATTTCTTGGGTATCTTTTGCAAAAAGCTTCATATATATTATAAAAAACACTTTGGCAACCTCCACAGTTGGTTAGTTCCACTGCCTACTACAACTAGATCTATAAATGTTGGAACAATTATCATAGGGAATGGGAAGAAATAAAAAATAAATAAAGAGACTATCCAGAACCTTAATACTATATCAAATGAGCCTTCTGGGGACTTAAAGGCACATTATTGTATGGAAAATGATGATACCGATAAAATTCAATAATGTATTTTTTGTCATCAAATTTTATTTTGCTTTCATATAAGACTTTAGAAAGATATCCGAGTCTAAGATAACGACATTCAAAAATTGGGAGACTACATGTTTTCTTGTTTAACTCTCAAGAATAACTTGTGCTTGTTTATCATTAAATTATATCGCAATCAGTTACTTACCTTTTCCTGAAATGAAATGCATCCATACTGATCAGTTAAGCAATTTACACACTTATTTTCAAAAGCTTGAACTACTTTGGATTACGTTTCACTATTTCAATAATTCAGTTTGTTAAATTAATAAGTAAGATAAAAGTTATCAAAATGCCTATGGAAATCGAGTTCATTTACTGAAAGTTTTTTATTTTTTATTATTATTACAAAAACAAAGCCAACATATCGAAACAGTGGACCAGCATCTTTTCCAGAAACAAAAAAAATGGTTCCTGTTTATATCTAAGAATAGTGCCACAGGTTCAAGAGAATATTGTTTTTCACATTCGGCGATTCAATAAATAATATTCCAAAATTAACTTCGTCCATTTAGGCTTAGTATTTTCTATTTATAGGCCTCTAGAATCTTCAAATATATATATATTCATTGTTTCCACACAACGACCCCTTTCTCTTTGGTTGCATTGTTATTGTATAAATACTTCAAAACTGCGAGAGCAAGTTTAGGTAAGATATTTTTGGGAAACCGCGCAAGCATACAGGCCTACCTAACGTGACAGTTAAGCGTTCACTCTGTCTTTTTTTGTTATATATCGAGGCTGCCGGAAGTGAGAGGCATTTGGATCACCAATAATTTCGCCTGTAAACTTTTATGAATATTTATATTACCGAGCAATGTTATTTCCGATCAACACTACCTGGCGGTCAACTTTGCCAGCGTTATATTAGTTTTAAGAGAAGCGATGGCGCTGCAGCTAGTTCTAGCTAATTCGTGTGTTGTGTGCGTTCATTGAAGGTCAAATATTATACATAGGCTAACAACTTAAGAGACCAACAAACTGTATAAACTGAAACACATATATAATACTTAAAGGCAAGTACATAACGAAACTCTTTCTATACCTTGATGCATTTTCATTGGTTGGCGCAAATCTCCCATTAGACGTTTGTAATTTTGTATTATGCCGTAATTAATTTTCTGGTCGCGTTTATTGCCATTTGCATCGCAAGTGTTAATAGACAGCAAGCATACGCAGTTACACATTTTATTTAGAAACGTAATACTTGTGTACAATAATTATTAATTTCTATTAATAATAACAAGTAGTCGTATTCATTAAAATAACAAAAAATTCAAATATTGTTCTGATTACTTTGCGTTACATAAGCACAATTTCGCTACTATAAAAACAAATCCCTCGTGATATTTACACTCCAATGCAAATAGGTATAACAGTGGTTATACGCACAGCCTAATTTTTTTTTTACTTTGGTAACATTTTATTATGGTTCTCTACCCCACCAATGTAAATTTGCTCCCTGTATATAACAAACAAATAATTGCCACCTTAAAATTTATACCACTAATTCGCGTAGTTTTCTCCCTGTATAATCTATGTTATGTAATCTCGGGCATTTAAAAATATAACCTAAATTTGTTGTTTCCAATACCAGAGTAGATTCACTAACACGACTTTAAAAAAAATTTGTCGTGTTATATAGGAAATATTAATAATTATTTTGTGTTAACTTTTTTTTTAAACTAAACACTTCTCTATCATATGTACACTGTAATGAATGGAATCTCGGTTCATGCAGTGATATTTTACAGTAAATAAAACCTAGCAAAATTCATAAATCGAGTGTTCTGAAAAAACAACTTAAAAGGGTGGATATAAATGTTGCCGGAAGAAGACATTGCAAAAACAAAACACAACAACAAACAAAAAAGCTTAAACTAAAAACTACGCATTTATTATAGAAAACAGAAAATGGCAAAAAAAAATAATAAAAAATCAAGAAAAAAAGGCACACCAATAAAATTAAATTTACAACACAAAAACTCATAACTTTTTCTAAACTTTATTATATTTCGTTACCAAGTCCTTGGAACGATTTTTTAAAGAGTTTGATGAGGACTATTTTGAAGCGTTAAAAAGATAGTTCCCAAATGACTGTCTTGATCCGTTTGTTTTAATGCAGTAAGAAGAAATGGAATCAGTGTTAAGTTGGAAGTGAAAGGGGTTGTTATAAATATATATATATATGACAAATGAAAACTTATATACAAGCAGTATATGAAAATACCTCCATTTAAGATGATAAAATATTACCATAACAAAGCTGGAAAAAAAAAAGAAACGAAAACACTGACAGGATATAACTGACGACAAGTAAATATGAATTCAATATCTGTAGTATTAACAATTATTATGATCCTGATTTAATTTAGGTAGAATCTTATATACCTAACATTTGGGATAATAAAATCACGTGGACTGAAGATTTTCATCTCCAAATTAATTTGTCCATTGCTCTAATTTCCTTATTTTGTACTGCTAAATTAATTACCCGGGCACTACAGCATATTGTCAAAAATGTTGAAATAGAATCAATTTCTTTTTGCCATGATCTTCCTGTGATCAGTATAAGTAAAACATCAGAAATGAACACGATTTTTAATAACACAAGGGTTGTATTTTTCTGTAAAAGCAAAAAAAAAAAGAAAGAAAGAAAGAATCGAAAAAAGATATCTTACTCTATTAACGCCATTTTTTTTAAACAACCAGATCACCTGATGAAACTGTCACGGCGAAATACCGTGTCACATACATTTTACAAATTGTTTTTCTTTGGTAAGGTAATAATAGTGAAGTTTCAATTTATTGTGTATAGTGTGAAAATATAGTCTCCTTCTGTTAGGTCAGGCAGATGAATTATTACAACCAATTTCTAAATATACCACTCTGCAGGCAATCAGTTTTATAACAAGATCAGCTGTCACTAAGGGAACAATAAAGATCATTATAATTAGTGCCTTTAACAGTTCAGTTCAACAGGTGTTTTACGGTTTAGATTAACAACGTTTTGTATAAAATTATTTAAAAAAACCATGGAAATATAATTTTCTCACCTGATAGAAAATAAGACAGTCGTGAACACATTAACATTTTCATTTCTAAAAATAAGACCTACTGTATCAACTACACTGCTATGGTGGTTTTTCACTGAATACACAGTTGATTAATGAAAAAAAGTTATATATATATATATATAAACTATACTGCACTTATTAATTCTGAGCGGGAATTCCTACTAATCCTTAAAATATTGATATTTTCAAGTCTTACTGGGATCCTTCTTTTTCAAATCATTATTAGAAGCTTTCTTTCTTAGCGAATGAGCATTACTTATTTCAAATATCACAAGAAGTATAAAAGACTGATTACTAGCTTCCAAATGGTCTTTATATTCACCCTGCTACTAAATCTATTAAAATGTCTATTTACTAGCTTCCCACAGTTTTTTTTTTAGTTTCACAGCCACAATAAAGATACACATGACAGACTACCTTCCATAAACATTTTAGCATCTAACAGCTATGGCAAGGAGACCTAATGACAGACTTTTAAAATAGTTTCTCATGACTATGATAAGGTTTCTACTGCTCTTACAAGTCTTATTATACATTTAGGGATCCCATCTTCTATAGTTTTAAATATTTCTCTAATTTCCCTGGATGACACACCATCTTCTCTAACTACTGACCTTTCATTAGCTATCATAAAGATATCTTAAAATAAAATTAATAACTTACTTCCATATTTTCAGTTTTTAGTATCAGTTCTTTTTTATATAACCAGTTTTGAATGAACAGTTGTGGCACACTATGCCACTTTATAGTATCTTATCAGACTTAGCAGTATAGATACATAAGCTACTTTAGATTTTCAATGTTATAATACCAGAAAACCAAAAGCAGAATGTTAAGTAACTATTGAAAGCTTTATTTTTGTTAGCTAATTTGTCGATAAAAAAAGCCTACTCTATCAAGCATTTCAAAAGACCTGGAATGAAGTAAAAGTAACTCTCTCTTGTAATCAACACTGGAATGTAAAGAGACAGAACTAGTTATCCAAAGAATAAGTTTAAGCATAGTTAAAGTCTCCCAAGGTGCCAATAAAAATAAACAGCATTTCTTATAAAATGAGTTTATTGAACAAACACTTCTTCTTCCCTTACCTGAATCTATTTACTATGATTAAGAGGTAAAAGATAAGTCAGCATGACTGTGACACTGATATCATAATAAAAACCAGCTTGACTTTGTATGAAAGATTAAACTTCTCTCAGCTAAAACCTTCTTTTACAATAATCAATTTCGTTTCCTGTTCTCTGTAAAGACAATTGTGCACCTATAACCAACAGTCTGTTGTGGATAACTTTCAAACAGTATTTATACATGTTCTTATATTAATAACAACTAGTTACCTGAGCCTACTGACATTCTGAATTACGATATAAAATAACTCCAACATGACATGTCATTCATTACATGACTGTACATACGCTTGCCTTTTGTAACATACATGTAGAACTTAAAAAGAAAATGGTGATTTGGCAAGATAATATGAAAAAAATAACCTCCTAACAGAAGCTTTTTCTTTTTTTAATAAAAGAGTTAGGTAAGAAATAATGGACAAAATTAAATAAATGTCCTACTAAATTACTTACCTGACTAGCATTGCTCAAGTTTGACTAGTCACAAAAACAAGAACTCTTTCAATAAATAAAGCTATTAATACAAGCAATCAGCTGCTCACACTTCTGAATCTTTTAGTCAAGATGCACCTTATCTCCATAACGTATGTAAACACACTCAGTAAGGAGAACTACTATTTGCTACATTATTATATTTCTCCTAGTTTATAAAACTCTGTTGATTAGATGGAAAACTTAATATATATATATTCTAATATTCTTTTGAAAAAGAAAAAGAAGAGCATGAATTCAGGTTACCATTACTGTTCTATAATATCTAGTTGATAAGCATTTGATCAAGAAAAATATAATTCTTCAGTACACAGTGTCAATTTTTAAGTAGACTTCAAAAGTGAATTTCCTAATACTACGATTGAATAATAATTCTAAGAATAACTTGACATTTTAAAAAATCATGACAATTGTTTGTAGTCAGTAAGTAATACAGTCACTGACCTCTGTTATCTTGAAAGCAGTGGCTATTAAAGTAACCTTGGTTGTTCAAATTTGTGGTTACAGAACAGCAGAAACAAATAACCTGGTGGGTTCCAGGTGACAGTACATTCATATTTGTTAAACAGTAACTATCCACTTTATTGATAGCTTCTACTGATGTAAACACTAGCTCTTCATTGTATTGATGCAAGTCAGGAAGGTCTTCACCATCCTAGCATCTACACATCGTGGAGTGACGTTCTTTGACGTTCTGGGCAGATTTGACCTGCCACTTTGATATGAAGTAAAACCAGTCAACTTGCAAGATTAATTTTTTTTTTCTTCTAGCACATAATTTTGTCTGAAACTCATATGATCATTACTAACCTTTCTGAATAAGTAATAAATAACTTTAAAACTGTAAAAGTACAGAATATTGTTTAAAAATGACGAAGATAAATAAAAGGTGAGGGAGAGTGCAGCTAGTTCTATATCCTGACAGTTGGATACTTGCTTGCTACATAAACACTGGGGAAAATATGAATAAATAGGACCACCTGCACTGTGGCCTAAGACTTGGAAGGTTTTTTTGTCTATTCTTCTGATTCTCAAGATGGGGTTTGTCCATTTACCAGCAATGTGAAGAAAAAATATATGAAGATCACTTAAACTTCAGTCACCATAAAAACTGCCTCTTCTCCAAAATCTTGGCATCTGTAATAATGATAATAAAGAACTTCTGATAAAAAATAAGCTAACTATATGGATCATAACAAAAATAATTTAAAAGTAGCATACACATTAAAAGATGTCAACCCTGTACAACAAACTGACCAGAAACACTTAATGCTAAAAATTAGTACACCAGAAAACTTAAGCTTATGACAATTAGATTGCACTGAATATCTCTTTTTGGTGTCTTAATTGTTAATAATATTTTTAGGTTATAATCCCAATAATGTCTTTCAAGTTTTGGCCAGCTTAGGAACTAAGTTTAGTCTTAAATAAAAAGACTAAGCTAAAAGTACAAAATAGTAATACAAAAGAAAAACTTTCAAAAATTAATGAAACTATCTATAAAGATAGTCATTTGTTATTTAGTGGGTAAGATAAAAAAAAGAAAATCCATAAACTAAAACTCTAGACTAATTCTTTACGTGTATCTTTAATAGCTTTTGACAACATATTCCTCCTAATCTTTATTATGGTTTACCAAAACAGTAGAAATATTAGTATACCTTTCCTTTTTAGTACATGTATTTACAGAAACTCTTACAAACAAACACTACATAAATATTCAAAAAAAAAAAAAAAAGAAACACAACCTTTTTTTTACTGAACACAAAATTCAAACATTTTATCTAATTCTCTCTCCTGACCAACACAACAATAGGTTACTGTACTTTTTTATTACTAAAATTGATCAATACAGAGAGAATATCTTATATAACTTTCATTTTAAACTTTTTCGTAAGAAGTTAGACTCTCAGGACTGGCTAAGATAATGAGGGATCTTGCTTACCCAAGATGGAAAGCATTAAATTGAGTTTATTTATGTTACACAATATAATTTTTATTTGCCCAAAGAGGAAACATTCAATACGGAAAAGATTTATTGAAAAGATTAATGAAGTACAGGTTTATAAAGTTTCTAAAACTACTACAAGCGTAACATGTTTTTAGTTGCATGACTTACAAGATTTGAGTGTTTTAGAACTGAATGAATTTTCTGTTAGTTTCTTACTAACATAATCTGTCAATGTTTGAATAAGGTTGTTGCCATCATCTCTTTCAGTTCATATTTAGATTTACCAAATACAGAATAGCACTCTTTCTATGTAAAGATTTAAAATTTTCTTGAATGTATTTTCCAAAAGTAAGCTTTAATCTTTTGATACTTGTTATCAAACACATTTCTGAAGTGTAATAAAATGTTGTGCAAGTTTAGAATTGAGAATGAGTGCACTTAGGATGCATTACAGGTTTCAAATGCTAGTCTGAAACTGACCTTAAATCCAACAGTAAGTTTCAATAAGTTCATTAGTTAACTATGAGAAACACAACAGAATTTGTATTGTAACACTTGTTTCAGTTCAACTAAGTTTATAATAATGTATTAAAGAAAATGTCTTCTTTGTAGTTTGTTGTAAATATAACAAAACCTCAATGATACTAATTAAAAGAAGAATACAAGTTATTCTCATTGAAACTGTTAGCACTGCTTGGCATCAAATTTTTTCTTCTTCAACAATTTCATATGATTTCAGAAATCACAACACTAAAACTACTAATATTCTAAAAAAAAATTAAGCCAAAAATATGTCGTTCTGAAAATCCAAATATTTTATAGTTTAACAGAAAACTAACGATTAATTGTTAAAACATAAAAACACAAATTGATCTTATTTTTGCTATGGATAAAAACAACAAAAGTATTCCTTATAACTTCAAACATGCTATCATTGCAAAAAAGAACGTACTAAACTCCTCCTACAACCACATAGTTTTGGACAAGAAAGTATAAGATATATCTAAATTTATTAGGTACCAAAACTCACAGTTAAGTTTAAATATACAAATCAAGCTATAATGATTGTATGTTATTAGCAAACTAGACTGCATAAAAATTATCTGAATGTTTGAAACATGTAACACGACAAGATTTATAAACAAATAAAGTAATCACAGACATTATTAGTCAACCAATAATGTAATTATCACCTTAGTATGATATCAACAAGAATAAAATTATCTTTTCTTTGCCATCAGTTTCTTCAAAAGTTTTCTTGATGTAAAAATGTAATATTACTTTGGCACCACATTAAAGAAGATGCTTCAAAAGGTAGTACGTATGTTTGTAGGAAATTTAGGAACACGATTAAGCTAAAGAAAGATAAGATCAAAGCTTGTCTAATAACCTACATTAGTATATTTTTAAAAGTTGGAAACATCAATTCTTTATACAAAAAAGACAGACTTCGGATATTAAAGTGGAAATTTGTAAGCTTAATGGTGTTGAAAAATTTTCAACAGGGTATATGTTAGTAACATGACTCCTCCTTTACATGTTACTTTATAGCTTGCTTCACACAAACATTTCCTAGGCATCTTAGAGAAGAAAAAATGAAGTTACAAAATTCAGTGTTTTTTGTTTGCGCTATGGTATGTTACTTTTATACACGAGATATCACCTAATTGAATACTACAAGTTTTGTTACCACCCTTTTTTTTTGGACAAATGTTTCAAATGTTATACATACCAAACAACTGGTGTATGTTTCATAAATTTAAATATAATTTAAATTTCATAAATTTAAATTATAAAAATTAATTAACAACCACTTTACAACATCACTATTCTAAGGAACCAAATTTACAATGAAGGAAAAAATGTTTTGACATTTTCATAGATAAAGTTACAGGTAGGTTCAAGGAACAGGCAAGAACTTGTTATTTTATCAAACTCAGTATTTAACTGTGTTCATGGTTGTTCATCTAGATTGTAATTTAATGAGTTCACACACAAAAACCAACAACATGACATTGCCACATCACACTAACACAAGATAACAACCATCATTATGGAAACTGCTAGAAATTTTACAAAAAACAAGTTAGATTTGGAAAATGATTAGTTTGAGTATCCAGAAAAAAAGAAACAGCATGACAACCAAGAACCCACACACCATGCTAGCCAGTCAATCACTTACTCAAGGTATCTGGCCTACACCATTCGCTAGCTGGAGATAGCTTTTGCAGCTTGTTGGTACCCATGGCAACTGGGGGCCAAAGAATCCAAGAGAAAATATGGGTGAAGATAATGATTTTTTTGCCATGACCTAAAGCATCTTCATGAGTTAAACTACTACATAAATAAAATTTTGTATGAATAAATGTTCTAATAAAGAATAAAAACAGTAAGTTTTGATTTATGAGTGTAATACTATGTAAAGAAAACATAGAAAACAACCACCACAAAAAAAATTGAACTATTTTATCCCTAAAACGAATTTCTTAATATCTGTTAGCTAAACATATTGATCCAAGTACAAGTAAAGTATTGCTATAAAGACTATGTTGCTGGCAACTGTGAGACAAAGTGGGCAAGCAAAGGGTACAAATGAACGATATACATTAACATGTGATGAACTTGTAATTTTTGTTTTAAAATAAATTGAAAACATTATGTAAGTTGCTAAAACGTATATTTTATTAATCACAATACAGTCAAAAAACCTTCAGTCATTCATCAATGTACTACAAAAATATGTTGGAAATTACTGCTACTACTACTACTAATAATCAAATACAACTCAAGAAAATCAAAGCTAAGTGGCATATAATAAAACTCTCAACTTATTCTCAAACTAAAATAAAATTCTAATTTGCAAATTGTTTATCTATCCACACACATACTTATTTCTAAAAACAAGAACTACCCAACTTTTAATTAACAGATTTAATGAATTAAAAAAAGCTAGAAATTAAGATGCATGTTTTATGGATTGATTGATTTGAATACAGAGCATTATGAGAGTTTATCTACTTTTGATAGGTAGGCATTTTTCTTAACCACATACAAGAAATTTAAATGAAAATTCAATTGAACTTCATACACTACTTTTCAAGAATCCTAACTGAATGAAGTGGTTATTTTTTTAATACCAAGTTTAAGCTTCACTTCTTAAGAAGATTAATTTTTAATAGCCTGGAGATGCTTTTCATTTTCTACTAACCAGTTATAATTTGTTTGACATTTGTGCAATATTTTAAGTTTTTTTTATACTTTCCAAATCATGTTTTAGATCTCACATTTGGATTCTCACACAAATTTTTATATTCATTTTCCTGACAGCACTACAAAACTTGCCAAGAAAAGATTTCCATTATATTATGGTGAAATGTCTCACTTTAGCATGATAAATTTTACTGTTCAGATCAGTATGGCCAGTTACCAATCCCCATTCAGTGCTATTAAATGTTGCTATAGCCCACGTTGTACACTGAAAAATATTTGAATTTTCAAGTGACAACTGCAATAAATGGAAAATATTTTCTGATGTTTTCTTTTTTTTCCCATGATTATAATATATTTTACTTCAAATATTAAATTATGTATTTCACTTTCAGATATTTATTTTTCATATTTCATGTTCCATAACAGAAAAAATTGATTTCTCTGACCAATAGCTCAATTTCTTCCATTTTCCTGGCTATTTACAATCTCCCCAACTTCACCTAATTTTATATGTTTGTGGGAACCATGTGCATTAAGCTTTCCATAATCCAACTTTCATCACTGAGAAAACATCAGAAATGAATTTTAATAGAACTACATGTTCCAAATGTTTTATATTAACAATATGTTTTTTTCAGTATTTTGTACTTTACTATCACTGGTTGTCACTTCAATAAATTGCTAAATAGTGTGATTCTCATTTATTCACAGTACATTAGCCCTCAGAAATGAGACAAGACAGCTTTTGTTTTATAACATTAATAGCTTGGTAACATGGTTCATATACTATTACAATTCTGAAAAGAAAGTATAAATACTTAAAGGTAGCTAGATATGATTATTTAAATGAGTTAATATTTCCTCATGAGCATGACTCCTATGCAATAGCCAAATGGTTAACTACCATATCAATTATTCTTCTAATCAAACTGGTTAGATAACTAAATAATTGTTTGAAACAAAGTTAGTTTGTGTCCAAATGTTTATAACATTTGTTTTCATTACCTTGAATTTAAAAAGTTGGCCCTGGGTTTAATATGGCCTGTTGGCATCCTTGGGTCGCTTCAACTGGACCTTAAGACGTTTCATTCCAATCTGAAAGCCATTCATGGCTTGGATGGCCGCCTGGGCACTGGTGGGGTTGTCAAAACTCACAAATCCTGTAATACATAATTTTAACTAATACTTAAATATGTTTTCCAAAGATACAAACATAAAGTACCCATTCTGGATACAGAAGGTTTTTTCTACAGCACCACAACAATAAAATTGAAAATATTATTTTGATTGTGCCGGGTTGAGTATTTTTGTCCAACAACAGATTGTGAAAGATATATAATAAGGACTTAATAAACTGAAAATTTATTGATTTATCCAAATCAGGTCTACAGAAATACCTAGCAAATTTAACTAATAATACTGTTAAACAATATTAAATTATAGTATAACCAAAGTACATTTCATTTGCTAAATTTACTGAAACCTACAAGTTGTTTTTTATTACCTTTTGCAACTCACTTTGAGTTGAAAAAATATCATAAACATGTGTTTACTATACCTCAATAGTTTTAACAAGAACCTTCAAAATGAGTATACTGTGCCTAATATTAATGTTGTACACTTAACACAGAAATATATATATATATATATATATATATAAAGGGGATTGAATGGGCATGAAAAGCACGTAACAGGCTGTGTAGTATAAAGGGACACTATATATTTTCCACTTTATTTTATAAATATAGGAATATTCAAAATTTTTCATTTTGTCTGATTCTATGCAGGTTTTGCATGAATATGTGGCCCAGAAAACCAACAAGTTATTTTTGTCTACTTATCTTTGTTCCTTTGTTGTTCTATAGCAGACATTCTACTTTTCCCCATGGGATTATTGCTACAACTTTGTGTGTTGGAACCAATAAACAATAGCAACGTCCTTCAACGGCTGAGTAGACAATATTTAGAGGTTACAACCTTAACAATGTTGTAAGAGAATGACCAATTGCATGGTAATGTACATCATTACGGGTTCCAACATTTTCTGTTAGTATGAAGTGTTAAATTTATATCAGTTCTACTTGATCAACACAGAGAATAAGGCAACAGAACTGTGTCTAACTAATAATCCCACCATACAAGTTGTAAATCACTCAGTGAATGCGTATCATATGTTATCCTATCGAATTATGTAACTATGAGCTACTTGCGAGTATACCTAGTGAAAAATTATTATTTTTTCTTTATTTTACCTAATATAACACAAGTTTCTAATTTTTACATTTTAGTTAATAAATTTAATTAATAAATAAATAGACATGAAAAAAAAGACATACAGAACTTACTTGGGTTATCTTCTTTTTTTGCTGTTGACTGATGATGAAACTTAACCCTTCTTTTTATACTAATGATACCACTACACTAACTAATTTTTATTTGATTAAATAATGCATCTAAGAACACAGAATAATAACCTACAAAAAATCAGACAAATTCCTATAATTATCTATAATTTTCTGGCTTTCTGTCTATGCAATAAGAGCTGTTAATAATGCAGTTAAGCTCGTCGCTGTGTTTCTCATGGGCATAAAATTTGAACTGGAAGAAAAATAGACAACAGTCTGTACAGAAAACAATGTAATATAATATATCATTTGATAGCTTTAAATGTGGGCTTTCTGTTGATTATAAATAATATAGTATTATTTGTCAGACAGAACTATTGGCAATTTGCAAAAGAGGGTTTGACAGGTGGGCAAGGCAAAACAGGTCTGATTTTCTAGTTTATTGCTCTGTAACCAAATAAGATTGAAGGCTGTAAAAATTATGCTTTGCCTGAATAATAACAATATTATAATGAGTAATTTATGTTAAATTTCATACTTCTCGGAAGGGTGGTAAATAAATTAGAGAAGAGGAAAAACATAATAGCAAATGTCACAATTCCCATAGTAGGAGAAATTCAAGATTTAAAAAAATATTTCTTTATAGAATTAAGAACCTAAAACCTGTATAATATTCAACACTGGTTTATTAGCTATGTTTTGATGCCAAGTTTATTCTTATACTATGAAAATAAAGTAGTTTAATTAGATTTTGAATATAACTTGGTAAAATGATGAATGAAGGGTATGGAAAGAGTTAACAAATATTTGAACCAAAATTTGGGATTCAAATATTTGGGGTATTTAATGTTATGTTTTTGAGAACTTTTTTCATGTTGTTAACATTCTGGATGTCAGTTTGATTCTCAACTGCAAAGCATATTTCACTAACTACAACCTTTGACTACAAACTATGAATTTATATCTTCACATATGTTTATCCGTCATCATAATGTTAAATGCCATCTTATCCAACAAAGACAAAATACAAATGTGGGGCTGACTGGTGGTAATGCTTCTGATACCATGAAAATGAACAAAATTGACAATTTAAAAAGAAATTATTAATTAGGTTCAAGTATAACATGGCAGAGTTGACCGTAGCACAATCTGATGTGTACATCGTAAAGGATACATGATGATGGGATAATTTTCAGCAATATCTGTATAATCCTGAATGCAGGTATTTTTTATGATGAAGCCAATACTAAGTATTATTTGGTATCTTTGAACACTTTCTTGTTCATAGCCTATATATATTTTATTACAGGTAATGCGAGTAATTGGTTTCAACTTACAGTAAACAAGGTTCAACTAACAACTAACATACTCAAAGATTATCTGTGCTAAATTAGAAGTGATACTATAGAGGGAAGGCAACTAGTCAATAACACCCATCATGAACTCTTGGGCTATTCTTTTACCAATGAAAGATGGAATTGATCATCACATTATAATGCTCCTATGGCTGAAAGGGCAAGCATGTTCGGTGATGGGATTTGAACCTGAAACCTGCAGATGGTGAGTCAAACATCATAACCACCAGGCCATACCAGGCACAACAAGTATAAAAAAAGACATATGTTATTTTTCCTGTCTTTACTGATTATTCAAGTGCAATTCAAATAAGAATAACACATGCTCAAATAACAAAATGCATAATACGTTTTAGTTCTAATAGGTGTACTTTCAAACTTATAGGTTTTTGGCTTATTTTGAAAAAAATTTAAGGAAATAAAATACAAAAAAGAAAATAAAGGTTTTTTATAGACTTTAAAAATTTCACTGCAAGGCCTGAAAGTTGTTGATAAAATCATTTTTCATAGCAGATGTTGTGTTCACTGTGTGGTTGATATGACAAAAGTGCTGCCAGATAAATGAAACTATTGCTTTCACTAAAATTCAACCCAGCCATTTTGTTTGTTTTATAGAAAATACAAAGTTTTTAAATAAAACACACGTAATCTAAATCACTATGTATATTACAGTCAATTATGAACTCACGGCTTGCGCAACAGATACTTTTCTATGAAGTTAATTATTCTTCCTTCTCCTTCAAAAAATGTGTGTTGCTTTAAGTTTCAACAATAACAAAATTTCTGGAAAGTCCTGTGAAATACACTTACCAAAACATTTACTCTGATTAGTGGCACGGTCAATGAACACCTTGGCACTGATCACATTACCAAATGGCAAGAACATCTGGATAAGCTCAGCATCACCAAATTCTTGTGGTAAGTGGTAAATAAACAGATTACAGCCTTCTGGTCCTATAAAAAAATCAAAACAAATCATTAGTGCTTGTATTTACTAGAAGTAACTACAAATATTAGCTTTCAGTAAAGTGATAAAAGAAACCTTTAAGGTTCAAAAAACACATTACTGTATAGTTACATAAAAATACTACTGGCCTAAAACTGTGAGCCAACTGGATTCTTATATTTACTTACATGCCTTATTTACAGTACTAGCTTCTTGATGTAATGTTTACAGCTAATATTAATATCAGGAACTTATTTTAGATATTGGAAGTACATTCTGAACCAAGAAAAAAAAAGGTTCTGTTTCTTTGATATATATATGGGTCAGTGAATTAAGTAAAATCATGGTGCCACAAGATTGCTACTTTCAAAAATAAAAATACAGATTGTACTGTTAACTAGGAACAAAGATAAATTCTCATCCTGCTCAGTTCTGGAGTACTAGAAAAGAACTACCTGCACAGATTTTACATCTGTTGAAAGTGAAAAGAAATCTGTAATATATATATATGTAATAATGATGCTATGTCATTTAACATACGTTAAATCTATTACAGTACTTGAAGCTAATAACTAGTTTGCCTGTCCCATAAGTAAGGTATTCTTTATTTTTCATTTAATGTTACTTTCATTAACGGTATTGGTTAGAGTTTTTAATATATCTAGTTTTATTATTATACGTTTATTATAATGTTTTGCATTGTTAGCTTAGCAAATAGATGTAGGACTAACTCAAATCTCCTAATTTGATAAAAGAGTTAGCACAAAGGATCACATATAAAGTATAATAGACTTAAAATAAGAACCAAAACTCTTTTGGGTCTTATTTTAAATCAAAGCTCCTAAGATGGCTGAACCTTGTAAGATATTTTTGGGTTACAGCCAAAAGTACTGTTAACAGCAAAATTTCCAAACTGATGAAAAAATGCATTTTAATCTTTACAAGTAATAGCATAACAAAAAATATAATTAGCTATACACATTACTAGGTTGATTTTAATTTTGATCTAAGTAGGTAGCTTGGTCAAATTGGAAGTTAAGATGAGTTAAATAAAATCTCTTGAAAACCAACAAGGTGATGGTCACAATGTTCATAACTACAAACTTCAATATCTGAGGAAGTGGAGAGGGTAGAAGAAGAAAGGCAATAAAAAACATCACAAATACAAGTCTATGGAACTATAACTTAACCGTAAATAAATATGGTGCAAGTGACTAAAAATCAACCATAAAACATATGTTATCTCACCTTCTCTTTGTGTTTGCTGAACAATGGTCGGTTGCTGTGTCAGAGCCTGTGCAAACTGGCCATATCCTGCTGGGTAAGCAGCTAGTGATGAAATAGTTTAATAGCATTATTACCAAAAATTATAAAGTCATAAGTAAATGATAAATGGAACACATATATATACAACTACATACAGACAGGATGATCTGAAACTAGTAAATTAGTATTTAATGGGATAAAAATAAAGAACTTGCAACCAACATTTTGGAAATGTATTTTATTGATTAAAACTTTATTTTGTTGCAGCATAAGATGTTTAAGAGAATTAAATTGTTGTCATTAATACCAATGATAATCAGGTTTCTGACTAATAACCTCTCACAAAAGTATAAACTGTCGAGAAATATCAATACTACAAAAATATCCCATTTAACAAGTAATAAATTTATTGACATACTAGCTAATCTAAAGAAAAACATGATATACAAATTAAACCATCATCACAATCTCCTTGATATATGCCTGGAAACAAAAAAAAAAGGGGCATGTAAGAGGGCCACAGGCCAATCTGAGGAAATGGGTCTGGGGTTCACTGTCAAAAGTACTGTTAACAGCTGGGGTACCCAACTGATAAAACAAGGCATTCTAATCATTGTAAGTAAGGTAAGTTTTAATAGTATATTTAATTACCTATTATCATTACTGAGTATATTGTTAATTCTGATCTATGTAGGCAGCTTGCTTTGATCAGAAGTTAATGGTAAAACCCCATACAAGTTTTTATTGTTGTATCTGAATTGATCTGATTCCTGAAACTGAAAACATCAACCACAACTCCAAAAATAATAATAGTAATAAATACACAAAAATACTTTTCTTTTGAAATCTTAATTTTTTCCTGTGGATACTCAAACGTTTGGATGTTATACAAAATTAAAACTTTGGGTAAATAACTACAATATTTAATGATACAACACCCCACCTTGCCTAATTTGAGACATCAGTTATGACTAAATATAATGGATTGATGTAACAAACCAAGGTGAATATGAAGTTTGTTTAGATACAATACAACTGTCTCGTCTGTGCAAGCTGTCAGTTGGAAGTTTTAGTTTACACTAGAAACAGTGTTAAATGAGACAATCCTTAGGCTAGTTGTTGCATATTCTTAAATGAAATTAATTAAACAAGGCAGTTTTTTACCACATGGTAGCAGTAAAGTCAAAATAATAATTACTAAAAGAATAGTTTTAAAACATAATTCTTCCAGTGTTTAAATTAAACAAGATTAATTTGAAACTAATTACCCATCTAATGCATGTTTGTATACTTTCTGTAAGGTTGCCTATTTGGGTTAACCTAAATAAATAAACACACATGTATTATAGGCTTACTACAATGATTTTCTTGTTAATGGAAGATATTCCAAATTAACCCAGCAACAAGATTTGTCTTTGTACTAAAGTAATTTTATATGAAAAACAAGAAGAAAGAATGGTACAATAAAAGATAAGGTACAAATATTTCTATCTTTAATATTAACTTCATTCACCAGTTATCATCACAGTATTTTCCCCATAAGTATAATGCTAATTACTTGCTACAAGTACAAAGCTACAATTCTTGATGTTACTGTACAGACTTTCAGATACAACTCCTATTTTGAATGTGTGTGAAGAAGTATAATGTGCTAATCTAAAGAGGTTAAGAGGCAAGGGAAGTCCAACAAAAAACAGCAAATCCATAACCAATGAATAATTTCCTCTGATCTGTAAACAGATAACATAAATCAAGATAGTGTGCTCTTTTATAAGTTAAATCTACTTACGGATGCCTGGATACGGCTGCAGACTTGGATATGCGGCAGGTTGGAGAGCATCGCCATTGGGTATCGCTTGGGCTATAAAAAACAAAACAAAAAATTCAGGACTTACCACCTGCTACAGATTTCTATTTTGAAAAAACTCAAAATGTTTGCTGTAAAAGTTTTTAACTATGTTTCATGCACTTAAAACAAAACAGGATTTTAAATTTCACTAATATACATAATAGATAATTTTATTCTTCACAAGCTGAAATACCAGTAAACTGACAGGGAATGTTTAAACTTAATTAAAACAATGTAAGTTCAATAGCAATCATATATTTCAAAGTAATAACTTGAACATAAACTTTATCTCAAAATTTTACAATTATAACAAAGCTTCTCCGTAAACAACATTTGCAGTTTGCTTTCCGTCTACCAACAAATACATATTTTGAGGTGATCCCACCCTTGAACACCATGAGAAAAGCATGGTTGTTTGAGAAATGTTGAAAGAGCATGGCCCACTGAGGAAGAAAGACATAAGCCCCGGGGATGCTGTGGTAAGGATCAAAGCTTGGTAGCATACTGTAGAGAAAGTTGCAGATGGTGAATGAATTCCAGCATCTTCAAGGCGAAGGTCCTGGCAGAACCACAGATCCCTAGTCCAGTTTGGATCGAATGAGGGAATGACAGATCTTGAACATAGAACACCGATCCTTTCTCCAAGAGGTGGAAGAGAGGGCATGGAAGATGTTCAGTGCCCTTGCACACTTGACACACAGCTGCTTTATGTGAGGAATGAAAGTAAGCTTACGGTCAAAGATAAGCCCCAAGAACATTGCTTCAGGAACCACAGGAAGAACAACATCATAAAGATAGAGCTCAGGATCGGGGTGTAGGCCCAATTGGTCTCAAAAATGTATGCAACTGGTTTTGGAAAAAGAAAAGGTAAAACCATTTGCTGTGGTCCACTTCAACAAGCAATTGAGGGCAGTCTGAAGCTGCTGCTCAATAAACCTTATGTTCAATGACCAACACGAGATGTTGAAGTCGTTGACATAGAGCCCATTTGTAAGGTCTGATTGATCATAAGTTGCTCCAGGAGACAGGTAGAGAACAAAGAGTGATGGTACGACCCAAGGAAACACGAATGGATACGGCCTCCAAGGTGAGTATCTGCTGGTTGACCAGTAGTGCCACACCTCCATGCACTCATCCATCACACAACCTGTCATTCCAGTATAAAAAAAACTGCTGAAAGGTGACTGTATCGGCAGGTTTCAGGAAAGTTTCCTGTAAGGAAAGATACATGGGATGATAGGAATTGATCAGGGCCTTAATGTTATCCAGATTAGAACGAAATCCTCAACAGTTCCACTGAATCAAAGTGGCCATTTTTACTTAGGTGGAGGAGAACTCGGTGGAGAATCTTTCTGTTTACAACCACGCCATTTTTCTTTACTAGATGGAGATCTGTTGACCTTCATGGATCCTACCCTTGGTTGAATGGGTAGATCTCTGTCATTAGACTTAGATTCCAGTGACTGAGGGCATGAACGAATAATTGTTCTGCATCTCAGGGCTGAACAAAATGGACCAGAGCAGACACCGGAAGCCGGGGCCATAGGAGGTGGATCCAGGCAGTCACTGGACGAAATGGTGGGGATAGAGATAGGAGTAGATGTTCACTTGTCAACTCGGACTATCCATTGAGGGCAAAAGACTCTTCACATGATGCGAAAAAGACTCTGATGGAGGCACGGAAAGATCCATCTGCATTCCCACTGTAGCAGTAGTGTGTAGTGCAGTGGCATATGCCCGAGGTGGAGAGGGGACAATAACTCCCAAGCCTCAGAGTAAGAAACATTAACAGGTTTTAAATGCTGTACCTCTTTCTCCTCCACACATTTAGGACAAGATCGATAGTAAAGGGGGTGGGAACCACTATAATTAATGCAGTGAGGGTCCAGTTTGCACTCGTAGGTGTTGTGGTCTTTGCACCACAACGAGCACGCACACGTCACAGAACCATGAAATGATGCCTTTGAATGAACGAACCTCTGACACTGGAAACATCTGAGAAGGTTGGGAATATATGGCAGTACCTTACAGTTCAAACAACCTGCCTTGACAGTGGCAGGTGGATGTCGCGATGTAAATGTCAAAATAAGAACATTGATAGGCAGCATAATTCCTTCTTTATGAGTGGAGATATGTCGCACTGTAGAAAGCAGCGAGGATCTCTGACTCAGAGATGTTCTTCAAATCCTTCTCAACAATAACTCCTCATGAGGAATTCAAAGTAGCATGGAGAGTAACCTCAATGGGCATATCCCCAAAGACCTTTCAATTCAGGAGGTATTCACTGTGTTTAGGTGTAGATGTTTCCACAAAGATGTCCCCAGAACGTAACTTCATAACTGACTTTGGAGATTCAGCAAACTCCTCTAATCCCTTCTGAATAAAAAAGGGGAGACATTTGACCTAAAGGTTTGTCTGACAAGGAATGTAAGATCAAAAAACGAGGTACAGGTTCAGAATGGGTTGAAGATTGCTGATCAGAGTCTTCAAGACGTGGTTGTTTACCAATTAGCTGTTCATTTTACTATCTTATTTTTTGAGGATTTGGGGGATCCATAATGAAAGGAGAAAAATTAAGTGTCCACTGATCCCACCCACCATGGGGTCCTACGAGGAGATGCACTACAATGCTAAACAAAGACCCTGCAGCAATGCCAGGGTTTTGTGAGCACTATACCCAAACACCAGCATCAGACACAATGTCCACAACACCCGTTGTGAATGCCCTACACTGGTTCTCAGTTGACACTAGCCCAACAGAACCAGCCGATTGACACTGGGGGTCCACCTCAACCATCCATCTACAGGAATTCAAGGTGAAAGTGGTGTGTTGCAGTGCCCCAGACACCACTCAACCAC